GCACAATCCATATGTTGCTTTGTGAATTGATGGAATAAGAAGACACTGAGCTTCAACATGCCAGCTTGGGTCTTATTTTGCTGAATTATATGCAGACACAAGCAGTGAATGGCTGAATTTCATGCTGATGACAGTTACCTATTTTCCACCTGACCTTGAAAACAAAATGCAAATAAAAATGGTTATCTTTGATATGTACACAATGATAAATAGCAAAAATACACTTATACGATGTAATTGTGTAAAAATTACATAACCAGATCAAATAATAAATTTATATCCAAGTGAGTTTGACAACATCCAATTTGACATCAAATGGTTCAGTGGGGGAGACTGTTTCATGAAATAACTGAACACCCAATCTAGTTTAAAGAAGAATTCATCAAATATTGTAAGAAAGAAGTCCTAATTCAAAGAATCATAATATCCAGCATTTACCATGTTTGCTGGCGTATAAGACACTCTTTTTATTTTTTTTTCTTTGAAAATCGGTATAAAAAACGGGTTGCATCTTATACGTTGATACTCAGTTTTTGATAACTTTCATTTCTGGAAATTTCCTGTATTCGGAGTTATGCGATTTCCCCCCCCCCTTGTTCCTTGCAGAGTGTAGGAATATTACAGTTACGTAGAGCTCAGTGAATGCGCATATGCTGTCGTCAATGATTACAGCTGGGTTTGTTTAAACTTTACAGTTCTTGTGAATGCCTTCTAAGTTTATAAAATTTCTACTGCTCAATTTTCTTAAATATGTTGGCAAATTATGGCTCAAAAACAGTGTTGGCATTGCTACAACATAGCACACAAGCTACATTTGATTGCATATGCTAAAGAACATGGAACAGGGCTGCAGAGACACATTTTGGGCCACCCCCAACTGAGAAAATGATTAGAACTTGGCAGAATTATAATAAATAATCAGTAATAAAGTTTTATCTTTCAAAAATGTGTATTAAAAAGGGATTGTATCTTATAAAACAATGCGTCTTATACGCTGGCAAATACGGTAATTTTTAAAACACATCTAAAGAAAAATATTCATGGTTCTTGATTATGATTTTCTAAGACATATTTTCAAGATGAATGACGATTAGCAATTTCTTAAGTTGCTGAATAGAGAAGTAAAGAAGTTATCTATTAAGAATACAGTTATACCAACTTGAGAGTATATTCTGAATGAAAATTAGGACTAAATTTATATGATCACTTTTTGTTCTTTTTCCAGAATTAAATTTATGTGAAACTTTTGGAAATACTTTGTAATTCCCCGTAACTGGTATTCTTACTCTCAGTATGAAAAACCTTTGTACTGTTACTCTCCATTTTCGAAAATACATATAGCATACGTTTTTAATATGGGTGAGAAATCATTGTAAGTGTAAATCATTTTCAATTAGGCTTTGGCCGTTAGTAGATAAAGATGCAAAACACAGGTGGTGTATGCATCAAGTAGATTGGCTGCATAGGGTCTTTTTTGGTTTTAACTAGGAAAACAAGCTGTTATTCATTATTTAAAAAATGAACATTGTAGATAAAACTCATTTCAGACTGACTGGGCTGTTATTCATTATCTAAAAAATAAATCAGTTCATGACCTTGACAAAAAAATACCAACCATAAATTTTGCATTGAAATTTTGCTTTCAGGTACTGAAATCATTCATGCTAAAAGACTTGGGCAAATAAAGGATGCAATTCTGAAGATTAATTTTTTTAGATGTGTTTGTTAGAGTTTTTGCCTGTTGATCTATTTAAATGTATTACTTTTATTGCTTTATTTACAATCAGTATAGGAGCCCACCAGCGGCCGAGCGGTAAAGTCCCTGAACACTGGTAGTTCAATCCGAGGTTCGAATCTCGTGAACGGCCTGGCTGCATGGGTGTTTTCGTAGTTTTCCCCATGTGTAACGTGTATACGAGCCAATTTCCCTTAGAAAGTTCTCCCCGAAGGCATCCCTTTCCTTAGGCAGATGGCCCTCGAGGCTTTGCCATAATCACACACACATATAATCAGTATAGCTCTTAAAGATACACCAGTTGTAAATTACATACAAAATTTTTAGTATCATCCCACCTTTTCTGCATTTAATAGCTATATTTATGTTAATATAAGATTTCAGATTTAAAATCAATATACACTTATCGTATTCTAAATTTTACACAATTTTACAGAGCACAATTATTTTTCATTTATACATTTTAAGCAATGTAGGGATAAAACATCTATAGATTCATGAATGTTTAGAAGCTCACTGCTTTAATCATTCATTATAAAAATGTGCTGTGCATAAAGAAATTGTTTCAAATGTAATAGTTATAATGTGTGTATATATATATTTTGAAATGTAATACGAGGGCTATCCAGAAAGTAGATTTGACGTTTTGGAATAAAAAAATAAAGTATAGGAAACAAATTTTATTATATACAGATGAAAGCCACACTCAAATACTACTTTTCTACATAGTCACCATACAAATTAAGGCATTTATCGTAGCGATGTACGAGCTTGGAAATTCCTTCGTCGAAAAATTCGGCCGCCTGCGCCTTCAACCACTTCGTTACCTCTTCTTGCAGCTGTGCGTCGTCATCAAAACGCTGCATAGCCAGCCACTTCTTCATTGCTGGGAATAGGTGGAAGTCGCTCGGTGCCAGGTCGGGACTGTACGGCGGATGAGGAAACAACTCCCACTTAAAAGATTCAAGAACTTTACGAGTGACATTTGCCGTGTGGGGCCGGGCGTTGTCGTGAATCAACAAGATCTTAGAGCTCAACATTCCTCTGCGCTTGTTTTGAATTGCTCTTCTGAGTTTTTGGAGAGTTTGGCAATACCTTTGAGAGTTTATTGTAGTGCCTCTTTCCAGGAAGTCCACCAAAATTACACCTTTTCTGTCCCAAAAAACAGTCGCCATCATCTTCCTTGCCGACATTGTTTGCATGCATTTCTTGGGTTTTTGGGGAGAACTTGTGTGCCCCCACTGCATTGATTGCAATTTCGTTTCACAGTTCACATGTTTCACCCATCACCCATGTTTCGTCACCAGTAACGATGCGATCGAGTAAAGAGTCACCATCCTTATGGTAAGCGTCCAAAAAGTTCAACGCTGCAGCCATTCGCTGATTTTTGTGGTCCTCTGTCAAGATTTTTGGAATCCATCTTGCACAAAACTTGTGGTAACCAAGCTTTTCGCTGATGATTTCGTGCAACAAACTTCGCGAAATTTGTGGAAAACTCAAAGAAAGTTCCGTTATTGTGAAATTTCGATTTTCACGGACTTTAGCATCGACTTTTTCGAGAAGTTCGGCGGTCACTATGCTGGGTCTCCCACTTCGATCTTCGTCGTGAACATTGGTTCGGCCATTTTGAAATCTTATGACCCACTGACGCACTCCACCTTCAGTGATAATGTTGTCCCCATACACTTCACGAAGCTGCCGATAGATTTCTATCGGTTTACAGTTTTTTGCAGTCAGAAACCTTATTACTGAGCGCACCTCGCAGCTCGCGGGATTTTCAATTAACGCAGACATTTCAAACCGTCACAGTATCTGAACGGAGCACAGCACGAACCTCTCACTAGCACGGCTAGATGCAGACTGAGCTGCGCAACGCTCTGACCCCAAGATGGCCGCGCTAGCCCCGCCCCTAGCGGACACAGACGGAAACGTAATCTACTTCCTGGATGGCCCTCGTAGTTTTGTGTATATATATAGAAAGAGAGAGAGAGAGAGTGTGAGTGATCATAAGAAAACTTCCGAATAGATGTATCCCTTATGGCCTATCCACTCAATCAATTGAAATAAAATTTCAGATATTGTTATTTGAATTTATGCACTCGAGGTTTTGTGATTTAAAACAGGGCTGTCACAGTGAAAATATTTCGAAATTTTTGAATAGCAATATGCGTTTTTTTTTCCTGCACAAATTGATCAACACTTTGAAAAACCTTAAATGGCATTAGAACAATACACATATAACAGTAATTGCTGATGTAAAACATTTGCAAAGAAAAGCATTTTAAAGGGCTAGTGACAATACAGGAGATGAGAGAAAAATAAAACTTTTATTGGAATGACACATGTGTTTGCCAAGTGCTGCAGTGGCATTTTGCACATGTCATGTCCCATAACTTTTAATTTCGTGGCCACCACGATCCTTCTGCCTCACTCCTTTGGATTTCTAGTTCTGGAATTATCTGAAATCTAAGGTGCACATATCAAATCCAAAATGTCAGAATTGAAAGAGGCCATAAAATGTGAAATTGTACAGATTCCTGTTTCGATGTTACGTTCATCATTGTAGTCAATGATTTGCATGCAATGCTTTGTCTGCAAAAGTGGGCGTGTTGAAAACTTGTAATTAATAACAGTTTTTTTCTTCTCCTCTCGTATTGTCATTGGTCCTTTACATTACTGTTCTTTTCAAACATTTCATGCTGGCAATTTTTGTCATAAGTGTATCAGTCCAATGCCATTTATCATTTTTCAAAGAACTGATCAATTTGCACAGGAAAAAAGTGGTTACCATTCAAAAATTTTGAAATTTTATCACTTTAACCATAACCATGTCAGTTGTATTGTTTTAAATCATCAAAATCTTGAGTGCATAGCTTTAAATAACAATATCTGAAATTTCATTTTGGCTAGTTGCGGATATTTTGCTAGGGGTTTATGTATATTTGTTGTAGTGGAATGGTCATTTTAATGATGGACCATTGTAACTAGCATTGGCTAATCATCTGCAACTGGAAAATCGACAATTCAGTTATTTATTAAAAAAAATCTTAGATGTGTTTATGTGTAATTAAGTTATATATTTTGTTATTTAAAATATGTTGTATATGAATTAATGTATTGTATTTTGATTTTTTTTTTTTTTTTTTTTTCTGTGTGGATAGTTTCAGATCTGTTTGCTGTATTGCAGCACTAAAAAATTGATTAACTATGTTCATAACGTGTTAAAATATCTGAAGTATTTATTTTTAACTCCTTTTTCATTTAGCTCTTGTACAGTGAAATTGAGAATATTCAGAGAGTTGCTGCCGGAGTGCTCTGCGAACTTGCAGCTGATAAAGAAGGAGCTGAAATGATAGAATCTGAAGGTGCAACACCACCTCTTACTGAACTTCTGCATTCTAGAAATGAAGGTGTTGGTAAGAATAAAATTAGATTTAGAATGCTTTTAAAATTTCTTTCCCCGCTTTTTTGGTGAAACCAGTTCAATAATTTTTTCTTAGTTTGCATATTTCTCGTATTATTAAAAATACAGGGTTAAAGAATTAGCAGTGTTTCACTAAATGAGATATTTTTATTCTAAATAACCATTTTAAGTGACACAAATCTCATTAAAATAATTCTAGTTGGGACCTTTATTTGTTGAATTTGGGCTGTAAGAAGTACGTAAGGAATTTTCATTAACCTTCCAGCACGTATGCGCAAGATTTACGACAAATTCAGTTTTTAATGCACATTTTTCGGATATTGAATCTGAGAGGTCTGAATGTAATTTCTATTCCTCTTTTCTACCCTTCCTCACATCATGGAATGTGCCAGCAGGAAGTCATTTGACTTTTTTTTTCCCCTGGCCATTTGTGCTATGTGGCAGCTTTTTTGTAAAAGTTACGACACGTGCATGTTCATGGGTCAAAATTCGGAAAAAAATTTTTTTTCCTCAAATATTTTGTAATTTTGTGTTATTAATTGCCGTGTATTATTTAAATTTGAATACATTTGGCTCTGTAAATTTTTTACAGTCAAAAGTCTTTAATCCGGACGTCCATAATCCAGATATCAAAGCTACAAACTTTCTGCTTCGCGTTTATGCATGCGCATAATATCTTTACGCATGTGCACAATACCTTTACGCTTGCACATAATATCTTTACACATGCGCGTTTAATGTATAACGGACAGTATATGCTAAGCTAAAATTATCTATTTTAGTTAATGTTGCAGATTGCATTGTTCCTTAATCTTCGAATTGGCTCTGGCTTATTATTTTTTGCAGAATGTTAGCGAGCAATTTTATAAAAGTAAGCTTGAACTATCGATTATGTCAAAAAGAATTTCCGATTCTGGAGCTGCCAAAGGGTCCACAAAGTGAAAGCATGTTTCGATGTCCATCAAACAAAAAATGGAATTGCTGCAAAAAATGGATAAAGGCATATCCTTTGTTTCTCTAACCATTCCGAAATCTGTTTATAAATTTCACGCTGCTCTGCGAAGGGGGGACGTCGCGGCACACAATGAACTGAAAGTTGATCTGTCAGCACTATCCTTATCTTCAGGGCAGATGTTTTTATTTTATTCGGCTTATAATTCCTTACTAAATGTAGTATTTCATCTTGATGTGCTCCGTCTTTGATATGATTTAAATCAAATTCCTCGTCATTATAAATATCATGAATACACATCAAATAGTTTTCTGTTTGCAATTTTCTAATTTCGACTATGCATTTCTAATTTCGACTAAGCATAATGTATGCTTTATGCATGCATGTGTTGAAAGAAATGTTTAATAAAGTAAACAAATAAATATTAAGCTTTTTTTTTTTTTTTTTTTTTTTTTTTTTTTGTAAATTTTGATACCTTTTAGATCATAATTGCTCTTTATTTCATAAATTACGGTTTCATATTTTTAATTTTATAATTTCTGCATGCCATCTTACCAGATTTGAATTGATGATCTATAATTCGGATAAACCGATAATCCGGAATCGCCGAAATCCCGACGAGTCCGGATTAAAGACTTTTGACTGTATCAGTTTTCATGGCAAAAAAATATGTGCAACCAGCTGATTTTGCTCCGATTCTTCAAGAATTATCTAATGAAGAAAAGGAAGACACGGAAACCTTTGGATGGGAGAACAATAGAGATTTCCATTCCTTATTTTCTTTTATTTCTATTTTTAGAAATAAATAAAAATATTAAAGTTAGTTTGAAGTGAGTTTTTGTAACTAGTAAGAAGTAAATTTCCTTGCAGAATGAGTAATGCTAAACTTACTTGTTATATTTGGCTATACTTTGCCTTTGATAACTTTTTTTTTTTGAATATTAAATATTCAAAAAAAAAGCTAATTTATGAATAATATGTATAAAGAATATAAAGAATGAATATTAAAATTAGATTTTAAAATATAATTATTAAATAATAATTTAAAAATGTTCTATAATGAATCATTGCATTTCCATTTCACTAACATAAGAACTTAAAAATAATTTACTTATATTTGAATGTGGTATCATTTGTATTTTGCAATAATAAGATTAATATTTTATTTTTTAACAAATTTATTATCAATATTAACTCTTTTTTTTTTTTGTGTGTGTGTGTGTGTTTTGTGCCCAAAACGGTAAAATTAACGGTGTCATAAAAAATACGACGTGCGCCTGCTTATGTAAAATTGCCAAGCACGCGTGCTGGAAGGTTAAATAGTAATTAGTTAAATTTTCTACAAAAATTATATGACTGGATTGTTTTTTTCCAGCTACTTACGCTGCTGCTGTTCTTTTCCGAATGTCTGAGGATAAACCTCAAGATTACAAGAAACGTCTCTCTGTGGAACTTACAAATTCTCTATTTAGAGATGATGCTGGCCCTTGGACTGGAATGGTAAATGAAAACTTTCTACAGTGCATTCATAATTTTTCTAAATCGATGTGTTCTATTGGATTCACATGTGCTCAGTAGGAAATGTAATTATTTGCCATCTGTGTGTATTTTTTTATACAGAGTATATTTTTTAAACTAGTGAGACAAATTTTGATGAACTTTAAACTGATGACAATTTAAGACTCACATTTATACAGATTCAAGATTTATACAATTTAACTCTAGACTAATAGCACATCTAATGCTAATAACCAATAATTTACAGGATGCTTGATTTATTACTTTATGAAGTTCTTTTACAAAAGAAATTGACTGGCCAAAAATGAAACCAAATTGGCAGATTGCATTAGATGCATTTTAATAAGTTTGCTGAGTGTTTTTGAAATCCCAAATAAAATTTATATTGAGCCCCCTTTATTTTACATTTAAGATTGTCTGTATTTTTTTATTTTTTTTTTATTTTTTATTAAGCAATATTAAAAATATTAATAATATCGTCTTATAGTATTCAAAGATCAAGTACTGAATAATTTTTTACCTTAAGTTTTGCTTCTTTTACTGTATTATTTGTGATGTTATGAATAATTCATAATTTAATTAATGAAACATTAATAAACTGCATTTTTTCATTAATATTTTTTAATAAGTCAGGTATCTTTAAATAAACCAGATTTTTTCTTCTTTTCATTTATAGTAAAATTTGATTTCTGAAAGCATTTTAAATTTAATCCCATGTAAAATTTTGGTCTGGCAGCAAAGTTATGCTAAAAAGTAGTTTTAAACCTTTTCCATTTAAAGAGCCAGATGATTTGCTAATGTTTTTATTTTAGCAGATTCATAGAAAAGTTTGCCTATATTATAATATATTTATAAATAGATTTATTCATATGAAGATATATAAGTAATGTGCATACAAGATTTGTAGGTAATTTCATTTTTCATTTAAGATCTCATAAAAATATGATTTTTTATTGCTTGCGCGTGCAATTTCTCTAAACTGCCCAATAATTATATTAAAAAAAAAAAAAAAAAACTTTGTATATAAATGGACAATTTTTGTGCTTTGTACATTAGAACGTCTAGAAATATTAATTAAATTTGAGTTTTGATTGTTCTCTTTTTGTTATCTCAATTAAAATTATGGTAATTAGTGTTTAAATATATAATTATGCATACTTACAGACTTATATATCTTTATATTTCTTTATTAATATTAAAAAAATATTGTGCATTACATGAAGGCAATTATAGTTTTAAGTTTTATCAAAACTGTTAATTTTTCTGTTTGTGTGCTTGATTTCTCTGAAACCATTGTTCAGAACTTCAAGAAATTTTATCCATAAATATATATATAAACCCTGGTTGAGTGTAAAAGACCAAATATTATAATTCTTTCATGAAAATTTTAGAAATCATCTTAATATTTATATTAAAATATAACTGATTTCAAAGTTTCAAGAAATGAAATTTTTTAAGAAACAATTTGAGTATTTGTAACGTAACATAGCTTTAATACTACATTATTTTTTTTAATTTAAAAAAGAGCTAAAAGACTTGTTTATCCTAATCCTGCATACAATATGTATGACAATTCTAAGTCAAGGTGAAGAAGGTACTCCATTTTATTAAAGTATCTTAACACCTGAAACATAAATTAAAAGAGGAAATGCGGTATCAAGGATATACCAGTAAGTTTCATGATAACAATCCCCTTAGTTATAGAGATACTAAGCAAACCTTCACTGGCCGCAAGAGTTAATAGGAAATTCATAATGCATCTTGATAATCACCATCATTGATAGTTGTATCTAAGATGACTCTTTTCAAGCCAAAAATAATTATAAAATATCAATATCCTTTTTAAAATTTTATTTCTTCCTTTAGCCTGCCGACATGGACATAAACATGTTGGGTCCTGAGGAAGCCTATCATGATCAGATATATCAGGGTAGTCAAGGTCCTCCCAGTGTACATGCTGCAGGTGCAAGACACAACCCTTATACACCGCAAGGTTTGTATTAGTTGCTTTGAGACAGAATAGCTTGTATTTTTTTTTTTTTTTTTTTTTATTTTTTTTTAAGCATTTGCATTTTTAACATCTATTATTCATTAATCATCTCATCTGAGTTGTCCAGTAAATTTATAAATGTATAATTTAATTGCAATCAAATTTATAATTTTATTAAAGTAAAATTTATGATTACATTTGAAAATGTATAAATTAGTGCTGAATTTTTTTTTTTACCAGTTAGTAATTTTACACATGTTGAAAACAAAAAATTCTTGATGTTGACTGTTTTTGCATAATTAAATTTTATCTTTTTACTTTTATGTGAGTGCAGTATTTTTATTTTTTAGCAGTCTTTTGGAAGAAGTGCTTTATTTAATAGAAATATATTTAGCATCTTTCACATCACACAAATTTTTTTTTCTACGTCTAAATCAAAATAGGTACTCCTAAAATCCTCATACATATTCTTCATTTTAAAAAATGGTCTGTCAGTCATTCTTTGGTAAAATCAGGAAAGCTTTTTGTTGAATTAAAATGTACCTTCTTACAAATCACATGCCCATTTCTGAATAAACCCACAAAGAATTGGGTAAAAGATGCTTTCGTGTGTCATTTTGCCAATACTGAGGGTCGGTACTGGAGATGTTATGATTGTTTAATATTATTTTCCACTTTTGATTAAGAATAGCTAAAGGTCATTATCTAAAGCAATTTGTATTTGTTTCTGTGCCACCAACGTGCCAGAAGATTTTGGGTTAACGTAAACTTTAAGTACCTCTCCTCCATGAGAACAAACACAATGTATGTCTTAAGTATTGAGGGTCATTTCGTTCAGTTGTGTAGAGCTTCAATAAAATGGGTTTAGCTAAAATTTCGGTTATTGTATTTAGAACCAAAGTCCTTTTTCTTCCAGGGGATGTTGGTTCTACTTTCTTATGGTCTTTGTACAGACTAGCTAACAGTGGCAGAATCTCTATATTTTATGATTGTTAATAAAAACAGTCTGCTAGAGGCATTGTAAATGAGGGACTGTTCCTCAAGATTTAAAAAAAAAAAAAAAAAAAAAAAAAAAAGGTGCTTAAGTGAGTTCTAGTTTTCCCTTTCAAACCCAGCTGATAAGGGGTGAAAATGCAACCTCTGCCTCTTATCACATCCAAAAATTCTTGTTGGAGTACACATATTATGTTAACAGTTTGTCCACAGAAAATTTTTGAAATCCTTCCATGTACATTATTAATCTTTGAATGGAAAAAGGAATGTTTGCTTCTCGCTTCGGAAAGAAGTAAAAAAATAATTTAAAAAATATATAAATAAAAGCATTGGTTAAGTCTATAAATAAGTAAGAGTTTAGTTTAATAGACAGAGTGCCATCTAGAAATATGAATTTTGACTTTGAACAAGTTTGAAGGAACATTTTTTAAATGTACCTAAAGTAAAAAGATTTAAGCCTGAAAGATAAGAATAAATTGGTAAATAATTGCTATGTGTTTGGTAAGTGCAACCAAAGAAAAAAGCAGTCTTTAAAATGGGAATTTATCCCAACATTATGTAAATTAAAAAACATTATGTAATTAAAGAACTGCAATTCATGAAGTACTAATAAAAAAGGCAAAGGGAATAGAAAATCAAGAGACATTGAAACTGCTCTTCTAAAATGATTTTTAGGCCATGAGACTAAAAAATATTCCTACAGATCTCTCTTGACTTCAGAAGCTTTGGAATTCAATAATATGCTTAAAGAGAACATCTTATGAACTATTGTTATATAGTTGTTCACAGAATGTAAAAAGAGGGTTTTTTTTTTTTTTTTTTTAAATCTGAAACTGCACAGTAAAAAGCAAAGAGTAGATCATTCTTTGTCTAATAACTGGATAAAAGTCACATAAAATTCATAATGCAGATGAAACTGTCTATTTAACAGAACATTACTGAATAAAAGTGAAACAACAGCTTGTTCTATGAAATTGAAGGAATTGTTTACTTTTATTGACACACAGTATAAAGAGTAACAATTAAGAAGATGCTGTAATTTATTGAAAGAGGCAGGAAAGGCTTTGATGTCTAAAAGGAGTCAAGAATTACCTCTAACTTACCATTAGAACTCGTGGATCACAAGCAGTACTCTTTATTTTCTTTTAAAGTGGAATAGCGATCTTGGGGGGGGGGAGTTGTATTGAAAAATAGCTGTGCTGCACATTCTTTTGATATTGTTCTGTAAAATGTTTAACACTAGAACTGTAGAGCGGGTCAATTTGACCCAGACCGATGTTTCATTTATCACCACACGAAAAGTATTGATTGAAAAACAAATTCCTTTCATGACTTTTAATAATTTAAGGTAAACAGTAAATTACCAAATTTAAAACTGTGTAACATAAATAAATTTCTGATTATTAACACTTAACCTAGAACTACAAAGAGGGTCAATTTGACCTGTAAGAAATGTTTATGCCTAAATGATGAAAAACAGTTGCACTTTCTTGGAAGTAACTGTAAAGTATATCTCCTTCGACCTCTAATTCCTAAAATAGACTGCACCAGGTGGAGGAATAGTATGGTTTTCAGTCAAGATTCGGAACGCGAACTGCATTCAAATGCAGTGGAAAATTACAGCGAATATCTCGAAAGATTTTTGAAGTTGTTTTTATTCTATATTTAATATAAAGATAGATAAGATGTCACGACGTTGTTCAGGACTGTTCAACACTGTTCAGGAAGCTTTGGAATATTTACAACAATTATCTGCAAATGATTCAGAAGATGATGATAATGATGACAGTGTTTCGAGTTTGAGTAGCGAGGATGAATACCTGTCGACTAATGAAGAAAATGAAAGTCATGATAATTCTGGCAGTGCTCTAACAATTGCTGGACCTTCTCGTCGCGATAATGATGATAATTTATCATAAAAAAAGATAAATAAAAAATTCTAAGAATAGACGCATATACTCAAGGAAATCTGAAAAGAAATCAGCAGTAACATTCTGTTGTTAACATAAGTTGGAAATAATGAAGTTGGTAAAGATGGGATATCGTACAATTAGGAACAAATGAACAACTATCATTTTGCTGGTATACTACCTTTCAAAAAAAAAACCTTTCCGTATACTCTTCATGGATCCCACCACATAACATACACATAACATACAAAGCATGATCTTTTTGCTAGCATACCTGCCAACTTTTACGAATTTTTCGTAATTTTTACGAAAATGCGTTTTGTCCTGTAAATTTTACGATCATGATCCATTTTTTTTTTTTTTTTTTTTTTTTTTTGTTTTTTTTTTTTTTTTTTTTTTTTTTTTTTTTTTTTTTTTTTTTTTTTTTTTTTTTTTTTTTTTTTTATTTTTTTTTTTTTTTTTTTTTGTTTTTTTTTTTTTTTTTTTTTTTTTTTTTTTTTTTTTTTTTTTTTGTTTTTTTTGTTTCCTTTTTCAGTGTTTTTAGTGATTTTTTGTCGAATTTTAGAATTTTTTCACATTTTGTTCGAATCCCGTCCAAACCTGGTGTTTCTCCCAATTGCTTCGCCGTTTTCCAACTGAAGGATTCTTTTGCTTTGTGGGCGCCATGTTTCTCGCCCCTTGCAAAGGGAATTACTCAGCGAGCATGGATTGCGCATTTGTGTCCCCCCCCCCCCACGTGCTATGAATTTTCTCTTAATGCGTCGTTGTTACAAAATGAGTTAAAAAAAAAAAAAAACCGTATTCTCAATATTTTTTGGCCTGCCCTACAAAGCCGAATTTCCAACAATTAAAGAATCCTTCAAAGGAAATAACTATGCATTTTGCAACGTGTGCGACTTCATAATAAGTCACGGTGAAAGAAGCGACATTGTGAAGCATATTAAGTCTAAAAAGCATGAAGTATTAATGCTTCGGCTTCGACAACGTCAAAGAAAGTGGATGATTTTTTTTTTTTCAAATTCGGCTACAAATTCGGATGCCGATGTCCTCTGGTGAAACGAGAAAAATTCTGAAACCTGTATGCACGAGATGGTTATCCTTAGGCAGAGTGCTAGGAAGGTTTATTGAACAGTGGGATGCATTGCTAAAATATTTCCACGAAGAGACCAAAACGAAACCACAGATCCCATCAAATTTGTCGGCATATAAGAAAAGATTCATTTTTTTATTGATAAATTTCCATTTTTGTTAACAATTAAAGAAAATGAATGCCATAATGATGCTTTAGATAAACTACAGAATCAATTTTCTGCTCCACAGTTTGAAGACTTTGCCAGTTCTGGAGAAGATAGACTTGATGTCCTCGTTGGTACCTTAAAAAGAATAAAAAGAGCTGATGTAACAACCAAATATGATAGACAAGCAAAGTTTTATTTATGTGCTATTCTCGTATTTCCACACAGTAATGCTGAGTGCGAGAAAAATCTTCAGCATTGTGAAGAAAAATAAAACTATGTTTTGTTTCTTCAATTTACCCAAAAACTCTAGAAAAACATTTAATTGCTAAATGTTATGAGGAAACTAATTGTTATGACAGGAAATTTTCCAAAGAATTTTTGGCTAAAGTCAAAAATGCACTCTAAATTCATTGCAATAATTTTTTTTGTGTAACATTAAGTTCTTGTTTTATGTTTCCTAATAAATTTTTTAGTTACACTTAATTGAGATTTACTAATGTAAGTACAATTTTTTTTTCTGTTTGTATAAATTTTTTATTTTTTTATATCAAAGCATGATATTAAATCTTCGTGTCCTTCTGAATTTTGGAGAAATCTTCTGAATTTTTATCTTTAGAGGTTGGCAGGTATGTGCTAGTCAAATTATACTTTGCGACGCTGCAAACAAGCCCACCGAACTCAGACCAACCCCCCTTTCCAGCCTGTGTTGTTGAAGTAAACCTTCTTTTCATCACAAATAATGAGCCCACCAGCGGCCGAGCGGTAAAGTCACTGAACACTGGTAGTTCGGTCCGAGGTTCCATCCCGCCCGCGGGCTGGCTGCATGGTGTTTTTGTAGTTTTCCCCATGTGTAACGTGTATA